AACAAAAGTGCAGAACTGATTATCTTGAGCAGAGCTATTTTGAATATCAAGCTACGCAGCAATAACACCAGTTTGTGAGAATTCAAAGATCTGCCATAAACAGAAATTAACATTCAAAGAAAATGCAGTGTAATAAAATAGCAGCTTTAATCATGCATAAAACTGAGTTTCTTCTCTTGCTCACACAAAGGAAACCCAGCATAAAATGCTGTGAATGCTAAGAGAGTCGAATGGTATGGTGAGAAGTTAAGTATAAAAACCTTGTTTGAAACCTCTGATTCAAAGCTGTCTTTTAGAAGGCTGGCTGTTCTTTAAGTGGTACCATGCAAGCAGCTCTGCAAAACCCTACCAGAATTTTCTGCTTGAATAATTGTGTTTGGGTGAACGAGTAGAATATCATTATCTTGATTCCTCCACCATCTCCTGAGGAAGGGGTAGGTGAATAGATTTTGTGCTGAGTGTCATAAATTCTCTGACAATTTTGCAAGGCTGTGTGTAAATTTTGAACCACAGAAGGAAGGAGAAGACAGGAAAGCAATATATGCTGTGACTGGATTCCTTATGCAACAGTATACATCAAGAATTAAGTGTAAATACTATGCATATGCTCAATTTTAGAAGTGGGTATTGGATTTTTTGATGTGATTAATTAAAAATATGTTAAAAAAAATTAGAGGAATCAAGTACATCAGGAAATTGTGAGATGAACTGTACCTCATCAACTGTTTAGAATTTTACTGTCCCTGGGAGAGTTAGCGATGCTAGTCTGATTTAGTCCTGTTCACAGTTGAGCTTCATGCAACTGACTGAATATTCTCCTTTAGTATCTATGAAAACAAGTAGAATGACTTCTTATATGGTGACTATTACTGACTATGTGCAGAGCCACAATCACTGGGTCAAGTTATTTTATGAACTTTGTGAATGGAACTGTGGAATGTGATTGCTGTTACTGTTCATTAGTTCAGAAGAAAGGCAAGTAGAGAAGTTGTTCTCCTCCCAGTCTATCTCATAAATCTTCACTTTAGGAAGCCATTTTTGTACAGGGAAAAAAATGTAGCTAACTCTCTGTTTCAGAGCAGAAACTCCTGCAAATTTTATGGAAGATGAGTTTGCACTGGTTGAAACTGCAGGATTATCTCAGACTTATAGGATCAAATTGTGAAAAACAGTAATGTGCAAGACAAAGATATTGTAAAAATTAACACTAAATTTAAGGTCTATTAGAGTAAGGTTGGCCAAAGGAATTAATAGCAAAGAGAGCATGCATTTTTATATGACCATCTTTCTGTAAATTACCTTTGAATACAGTCTGCTGTTCAATATGTAAGAGAGGATTGCAGGACTACATTACTAAAAATGAACATTAGAATTTAGTAAAGCAGATGTCTTTGTAACTTAAATAATTTTAGACCATTTTTGCCTTGTTTAGAAATATACACTAGTTAACTCCAATTATCTAAATAATTCCATTTTTAATTACTGTATCTCTCCAATTTAGAGATGTTGTGTTAGGATGTTGTCATGGACCATGTCAAAGGCTTACAGACAGATGACATCTGTAGTTCTTCCCTTGTCCACTGATGTAGTCACACCATCATAGAAAGCTGCTGGGTTGGTTAGGCAAGATTTGTCCTTGATGAAGCCTTGGTTAGTTGAGTTACTTTGTTTGACAAAAACAGTTCAGCCTACAGAAGAGCCACTTCAGAGAACTAAACCCCCGTAATCTTGTAGAGGGTAGAGAAAGCAAATTCTCAGAGTAAGCAGAAGTTCTCTTGCTGCTGTAGTCCTTCTGCAGTCAGCAGCCAGGAGACACTCCTTCATACATGTAGGTTTAACACATAGGCACAAGGTTTCTCTGATTTTGTCCTTTGTCTGTGCATGTGTAAGTTCGCGCATGCTTATTGCAATACACTTTGAGCTGTCACAATTAAAACACAAGTAATATGAAATACTTTCAAATTTGTAAGTTCCATTAAATCATTCTATGTTACATTCAATAGCTTCCTCAAAATAATATACTCCCTTGCATGCAATGCCCATACACATAAAGCATAGATTACAGTGTGATTTATATCTATGATTGCTTTCATATAGTCCCCAAATGTAACATTTAGTCTAGAGAATGCATATGTTGTCTTTTGCTGGAAACATGCATATAATAAACCTGGTTTCATTTAAGTCCAAAGCAATCTTTCAGTTGATACTGGGGAGAAACGTATTGTTCTGCCAGTAGATTTTAGCATTTTTGGTATAGCAGGCTCATTTACTGGTTATACACTTGCTTAGTCTATAACTATTCAATTTAATTTTTCTCAATTAATTTAGAACTCTGTGGTACATTTCTAGTGGGCACAAACTTTATCTCATAAGCAGCCTTAAAGTTCATGGAATTAATTACTGTCTCTTACTTCAAACCCTTTAACGTAAGGAAACCAGAACAAATGGACAAGTAGTTGATATCCTCCTGGCCTTCCACTGTTGTTCTACAAACTTGACAGAGAACTTCATTTTGAAGTTATTGATGATCCAGTCATTGCTTACACACTATATAATAAAACACCTGTGCTTAAGTTGACCAAATAAGTAAACTTCCTCAGTAACCTTTTCTTCAGTTTTTCTGAGATGTCTATTGTTCTTTCTCTAAAGTAACTTTTCTGAATGAAATAACATTGTATCTGACCATGCAATAATTTTAAACGTGACTATGAGAAGCACCTATATTGAAGCTTGCTCTATCAAGTTATAAGGGTCCTATCTTTCTTCTGAGAGATGTGAAACGGGTCTGTTATTCTTTCCCCTCTACACTCTCATCACTAATACTCCTGTGAAAATACCACTGTCCTGATCAAGGCTGTACTGCTGGATGTATTTTTGAGCCTTCAAGTTTTAAAGTGTAACTTCAGGTCACATATAATCCCTCTGGTTCATAATTTGAAATCTCTCAAAGACCTGGCCTTAAATTTCCATCCATACAGCTAAATTTCTTGCTCCAGCCTTAGTTATTTTGCAGCTTGAGTAGTTCTTACCTTTGCTAGGTCTTACCTTTGCCCAGCTGTGCTCACATTTGCAATTCCAGACAGAGCGACTATCCCATTCCTGCATGCTCCCTCTTTACCCTTCCCAAGTCCTTGCTGTTTCTCAGTACCCCTTACGGCAAACATGACTTTTTTTCCCCATTGGCATATAAAGCCATTTATATTTAGCTTTGATTGGTCTTTTGACTCTTCTGATTGGCTGTTTGGCTCTACTGCTTATCAAATGTTGATTTGCATTTGTCACATCCAGCCCAACTAATATTGGACTGGGAGGTGATTCATTTTAAGCACTGAGAATGTTGAATACCTTCATCTTCCAGTTCCACCTCTGAAGTCATACCCCTCATTTCCTCTGTTAGACAGCATCCTATGCGTATCTAACATTAATTTTAGCTTGTGTGTACGTGTTGTGTGAATGCAGCTACATATTCACACGCCACTTACCCGATCCTGACTCTTACCCAAGACACCTCAACAAACACATAATACAAACAAAATATATGGAATTGAGTCCACACAGGTTATGTGTGCAAGTGTGCATGCAGGCATGTATTTACACAGAGGAGGAAGCATTTAGTATTTCTTAGCAGATAGAGTTCAAGCTGTAGGTGAGAGAGACGATTATAATGATGAAGTCTTATGATGATGATTAAGTTTTATGATTAAAGCACTGCCAGATCTCTTACTGTCTGTCTAGCTCTTGCATGGGTGTCTGGAAGAGAGCACGTTCCTAACTCAGAAGGTTGATCTGAGGGTAAGTTGTAAGTGGTTCAGATACGGCTGAGATGAAAGTTACAGAAACAAGTAATAAAGACTGATTTTAAATGACAGCATAATCCTTCCCTCAAAAGTTAATACAGGTTCCTGTACATGGAACCTAAACAGAAACAGTCTAAGTAACATGGTTAAAACCAGATAGCAATTTCCCTGGTACTGACTACGCTGGCTTTCTGAAAGGGCTATGGAGCAGTTTTTCAGCAGTTTTTCATTTTTCATTCTGCTTTTGGTGATCTGTTGAGAAGCATCCTAGTTTCAGAGTAAAGGACATTTTCTGTGTAATGCCATAGACACAGTGATACCAACAGTTTGTACCTATTCCACATGCAGCTGCTGTGAGTGGAGAGGTTAAGTGGCGTCTGCTGCATGCTGGGTGGAGAGTGAGAGAAGGGTCAGAGGGAGAGCAAGCACACATACCATTTCATGCCTGTGAGTAGACAAAAGGCCACAACCTTAGAAAGTAAGAACTAGAGAACAGGAGAGCCATTTCCTATTCCACAAGTAAACATCGCATGGGATTTTACCCTTGGCTGAAACTGATTTATATTTTTTTATATTTTTATCAAGGTGGAAAAGACTATGTTCCTGATCTTTTGTATACCAGGCTGTTATGCAAAGAGGTGCAGACTGAATGGCTGTGCACTTTCTTGTGTATTCTGGTTTTTTCTCTGCTGTAACCTGTAGCCTCAGTCCACTCAGCTGTGTTATGGAATGGTTTCAACTCTCGGTAGAACAGCAGTTTGTGGGGTTTTTTTCAGGGTCTATAAACAGAAATAAAACTACTGCTGACTTTAGTCTTGGCTTTGTGGATGACCTTATTTGGAGAATTAAAATTCCCAGTAGCATGCAGATCTCAGACCAGATGCTGCAAGCTGAATTAATACACAAAGGTGGACTGGAACTGGGTGAAGGGGAGAAGTGCTACAGTTTAGGGTGCAGACTGTGGCTTGGAAAAGAGTGTTTAATAAACACTGCTTGTATACTTGGTGTTACAAATGTGTGGCATATATATTGAAATTTATAGTGTGTCTTTGTACACATATATAGATGTTTAAACACATGATGCATGTATCTATATTTTAACTACTGTATTAAGACACACATATTTGACAATTATCACCAACAATTATTTTCTTGTCTCTAGTGCTTATACATTCAAGTAATTTCTTTTATTGATTCATTTAGCAGCAGCAACAGAAGAACCTGAAGTGATTCCAGATCCAGCTAAACAAACAGATCGGGTGGTGAAAATAGCAGGAATAAGTGCTGGAATTCTGGTATTCATCCTACTTCTCCTTGTTGTCATACTGATAGTCAAAAAGAGGTAAGAAAATGGTCTGTGCTGATCGGTCTTTTTTTTCGTCCATATCAATAATAACTAAATGAGTGTTTTTTACAGGTCTTAGAAAAAAAAAAAGGTTTTAGGACCAGTAGGTCACATCAGATTTTGGATGAGTTCTTTGTGTTTCCTTTTGGTTTTGCTGTGATTCTTAGGATGTATTTAAAGAGAAGAGTTCTTTATATTTGGGATCCAATAGCTATACATTTTCTCATACGTTTTTATTTCTAAGTAGTTTAAAGTTGGAGTTGGAGGAATGTAGAGAATATTAAAAGTGGGTGGAATTAAAATTCATGGAGCCTATTTTATTTTTTAAAGCAAAGAAAAAAATAATAACTTATTGCACTTTTCATGTTTTAATCACATAATGAATATGATTTTCTATATGCGACTCTAATAAGTTATTTGTATCTGTATGTTACACAACTTGTAAAATAATGTAATTTTATACCTCTATTTATGCTTTTATAAACGTGAAGTTTTTTCTTAAAAGTCATACTACATCACTGTAAAATTATCTAGTGAGTCCCTAGTGCATGAAATTGTTTAAAAGTGTATTAATTCGAATTTTAATTTTTTCCCAGTGCTTTCTTAGAAAGTAAGCAATATCGCCATCTTCTGGCGTTGTACAGCGCTAACCCTGCATCCCAATCCTACCTGTAGTAACTTATGCGATCCTATTGCTTGGTCAGTGTTTCAAAGTCTAGCCTTCTCAGTAGTTGCAACTCTTTTAACCTGGCATAAAAGTCCATAATATGTCCTATAAATCTGTAGTTATGGTACAGAAACTAGTTCCTCTCTCTTTGTGCATTCCCTCTCTGGTGGGTCCTCTTCATGTGGCACAAGCTGATTTCTCTTGGATAGAACAAACCCTTTGCCTCTCCATGGTGTGTGCGTTGTGTGCCCTTGCCTTTTGCAGAAGTCTAATGAAAAGTATTTTTGTAAATGTTGCACATATTCCTCTGAAATGCAGCTTGGTATTATTTTTAAAGACTAAGAAAAAAATTAAAATTGTACCTAAGATCATTCTATATGTTATAACTACTGGTTTGCATTAGATTTTTTTAATTTATTGCCTTTTTACAATTATCCCTGGAGATATATAACTTGGAGAAGAAACGTCTGCATTAGAAACATTAGGTATGCTTATAGTGTTCTGTGTTAGTTAGCTACATATGTGATTTTTCCCAAAAGTGCTTTTACTTTTCTCTGTTGTTTACCTCTGTGGTTGAGAGTTAACACATATGCAAAAGGTCCAACTCATCATATGCAAAAAAACATACAGTCAGCAAGTTTTCTTTATTTACACAACTTCTGAAAAACAAAAACGAAGTTGTTTTTCAGCTTCTAGGAGGCAATCTCTATTTTGCAGTTTTATAGCAAGGTATGTGCTGGGGAGTATCGTCTAGTGCGTGTTACAGTGGTCCCCTTATGTTTAATTGAAAACTCAGTGTGTGTGCATGTGTGTGTAAGAGAGAGAGAGATTGTCTAACACTATATAGTGTCAGTCACTTCCAGATGGGGATTGACTAGTTTTGCAGGTAACAAACAAACAAAAAAATTCCATGTGTTCTTTTTTCCTATCCTTTTTACCTCTTGCATTCCGAGTCCTTTCACTATTGAATTTTTTTATGAAAATAAGTTAATTATGTCCATGAAGTGATATTTTAAAGTTTTCCCCTTTTCCCCCCTTCCCTCCTCTGAACCTGTGAAGGCAGTATCCTCTTAGGAACAATCATCATTCTAAAGACATAATATTTCTAAACTCCTGTACTATTTTGTATTCAAAATAGGTGAGAAATTAACCTGCTTAATGAATCTTTAATGATTGGCAATTTTTCATCATGATAGTTTAATTGGTTGTCTACTATGTATGTTATAGGTGTGCCATTCTTCTCCCCTTCTTCCCTTAGGGAAAATGGGCACTTTTTTTAATACCAGCTTTAGTCAAGGTCTCTTACAAAAAGCATAGACAAACTTTGTGTTCCTGAGTTAATTCAGTCCATTTAGTGAATCAGGGCAATTCACATCATGAAGGCAGGTACAGCTGTAAAAACTCTGACACATTCACACAAACAAAAACACACTTCACTTAGCTGTGGTGGGACTGAAAACTGATCCGTCGAATCATCCTCTGTAGTGTACCTATTCAGTGATCCATTATGTAGTATCCCTTTTGATACCTGAATTGACCACAGCTTATTAGATGGAAAAGTCAATAAAACAATGGTTTCTGCATTTTCATTGGTTTATTAAGTTGTATGCACAGCCAGCACTATCTCAAACTGATTAAATGCAGCATTACATTTTATTGGAAAATGGAGTACTAAGCAGTTTTGTTCATGAGCTTGAGATGTTTTAGGCTTTGCCTGATCATTTTGTACAAATTGGTTTGAAGTTTTCCTGAATGAAGCTCTTAACAGCTTTTACAGACTTTTACTGGAGTAATCAAACCAGCTAAGAAAAGGGATACTGCATCTTTAACAAGCAATGCCATTTTTATTTTCAAAGTCATTGTTGGACTATTTTCAAATGTCCTTCATTTCCTTCCATTTGTTTACCTTCCATGTTTTTAATGCTTAGCATGACTACATCAGCATTTCCAATTTTAAGATTTTAAAATAGAAAGCATATGTTTGCATTCAGGAAATGTGTGGTATATATGTCAGTATACACATGTCTGTTGTAAATGTGCATTCTTTAAAATGTGTGTACTCATATAGCTACACATAGTATGCATACAAACATATATGTATACACCTGTGTACTGATAAAGATGTTAAAATGAATTACATGAAATTGTTTTCTGATTAAATGTATTTATTAATGGAACCTTTATTTTTTCTGACTGAAAAGTAAAAAGCATATCTACTGCACAAGATTTGTACACAGCTGTTCATTTGTCATGACATCTAGGCGGTAATCATTATATTATGCTGAACTGCATGTTGAAATTACACAATCCATTTAATTTTCAAATTTTTGGCAATAACTGAAATCTCAGCATGTAATTTTCTCAAATGATCTCTCTAAAAATCATTTTTATATGCTAGTGGTTTTTTTGTTGGTTTTTTTTTAATTGCATGGCAAAGTAAGGCTAGTTTGTGCATGAGCAAGTTGAAATGCTAACCAAAGAAACATGAATTTTTCAACTTTTTTTTTTTTTAAACGCACATTTCTCTGCTTTATTGAATGTGACAGAGTCATGCTTTTCATTCACCATTGCTTCTCTTTTTCCACTGTCTGTGATTTGCTTGCCAGGAGGAGCTACTATTCTTACTCCTACTATCTGTAAGTAGAATACGGGTGACTTACTATTTTATGTGTTTTAAAGATGCAGTATCCCTTTTTAAAAAATAAAAACAGTCTCTATAATTATTTTTTTTAAGTTTTTTTGATAGTTACCTTTCATTATTCTCAGGCTTGAAAAACTGCTTGTATCATTGTTCCTGTCATTCTTGCTCTGTTTGTTTTTTTTAAAGGGATATTGTATTTCTGACTGTATATTGAGACTATAGCTTTTTTCTACAGTTTTTCCCAATACTATTTTAATCATAATTTATTGTAATCATAATTTAATTTGCATTATGATTCACAGCAACACGTCACACTAAGGAAAAAACTTCCTTTCCCATTTCCTAGCCAGAGAACTGTGTTTGTAAATCACAAGTTCTACTTTCTCAGCGTATCAGTTCAGCAGCGATCTTGTGCACCACTTTTCCTATGCGTGTTGTAGGGAGATGCCAAACCTTTATAAATAGGTCATGATCTGCATCTATCACTTTTGAGGTGATTTGCATACACATTTTAAAGTGTGGATCTTACTTTTGACATTGGTTTGTATAAAGCTGTACTTCATTGAAGCAAAATTGACTTTTTCTATGCATATTCACCATATGAGGTTTTGTGAGGACTGCAATGGTTTTGTCTGTGATTGAGCCAAGCAGTTACATGCATTCTTCATTTTAAATAAATGCATAAAGCTGTTGAATTCAGAGGGGTTCTAAGAATGCATTCAAGTGCTTTGATGAACTGGTGGTATCCAATAGTGGTGCTCTTCCACAATTTTAAGCAGATTAATTGACTTCTTTAAACAAACTTTAAAATTATAATAATTTTTAAAAAAACTAAAGTGGTTTAGCCAGCTACCATTCTCTCGTTTATTGTGACAAATTATAAGTTCCTTGTTAAATAACAATTGCTTCAACTCAAGATAATTATCCACACAGTTTCATCCTATGATGAAACACTTTTCCCCTCCAACCACTGTAGCACCCACCTATGCAGGATCCAACTGGATCCTTTAGCAGATAATGAGAATCATTTACACTTTCTGTTAGCCTCAAGTACTTTAACCTAATGATTTGCTTAACTGTCATGAAGTACAGATTTCATGTGCCTTTAGCTGAGTGAGGGAAGGACAAAAAAGGAAATAGGCAAAAGAAGTCATCAGACTCCAAGGGCACCAGGAGCTGTTGAACAATAAAGCTGTCCTCCCATTTCCCAGCAGTTTTGAGAAGCAGTTGCAGTGCTACAACACAATAGACCTTTTTAGGTGTTGAAGCAGAGCATAAGAATTAGAAAGTAGCTACTGTAATAAGCTAATAACATAAAAGCCGTAATAGCTGTTGATTTATTTATCATAGCTAGCAGGTTTTGTTACAAAGTGATGCTTCAAAGAAAAGCTTAATATCGCTGAGAGATGAGATGTAATAGTCTTTTTGTTCCATTTCTGAGGTGACATTAGAAAAAGGTGATCTTCAGTGTACAGAGACTATTTGAAAGGCTTTGAGACTTAAAAAAACCCAGTTTGAACTAGAAATGCTAGTTTTGAGAAAGCTTTGATAGTATTTTGAAAGAGTTATAAAGCTCAAGCAGCTTCAAATTTGGAAGTTCTTATGGTCTTCATTTTTCAACCAGAATATAATTTAAGTCAGCTTCTCTTAAGTTAATAGGAAGGTGTGGAGTAATTGTATAAAATAAAACATTTTATGGGGGACATCTAACAGATTTTTTATTTTTCACTGAACAACTGATACAGAACCCTTATGTATGCCACAAGAGTTTGATGAAAAAATGATGGATTTAGAGAACACCTTTGGGATTTTTGTAGTGAGAGTGTTAATGAGTAGTAATTTTCCAATTACTCCATCTGTAAATGGGAAAAAGAAGGGGTGGGGGGAAGTGTGACAAAATAAGGAGATGAGTCTGATTGGTGGAAGAATCTTTATTGTTTGCAGGAGAGCTTTGTCCATCCATATTCTACATTGTATTCCCTTGTCGTGAACCAAGACTGTTAACTAAGTAACATTTTCTTAAATAAGCACAAGCATGAAGTACTTCTTGCCCTAAAGAGAAGTGTAGGTCCTCTCTGGTGGATGTTCCCAAGACTTAACAAATAAATAGATGGTTAGTTTACACCAATATTCTTTATAGAATCATGGAATGGTTTGGGTTGGAAGGGACCCTAGAGATCATCAAGTTCCAATACCCCTGCTAGGGATGCCTTCCACCAGACAGGTAACTCAGAGCCCCATCCAGCCTGGCCTTGAAAACATTTAGGGAGGTGAAGTCCACAGCCTCTCTGGGCAATGTGTGCCACTGTCTTATCAACCTTATAGTAAAGAATTTCTTCATAATATCTAATCTTCTGATATGTAATAAATATCTAATATAATTCTTGTCTGGTGTTAGAATGTGCATGGAATGTTAAAAGTTGGCAGAGAATAGAGGAAGAGCAAGCAATCCTCTTAAGTCAAGAGAAATGTAAGATAAACAATGTCTAAACAATTAACAGGGTGTTTCATGATATTCTGTGCAGAAGAAACTTAGGAAGCTAAGCTGTGTGTGAAATATACATTTTCAAGAACTCAGTACCTTATGTGATGATTGTGTCTCTCCCATGTGGTGTCAGAGTTATCCAAATAAGCAGGTTGGCTATCTATTATATTGCAGTCACAGCTTCAGATGAAAACAGGGAGATTTCAGAATGGTCTAATGTAAGTTACTGGTTCCTGCAGAACCAAGGTGCACTTCATGCTAGTCTGCATGCTCTCTGCTACTTGAGATACATACTTTAAGTGTAGTAGGCTTTAAGTTATAATTAAAATATATTATTTGCTTCCTTTTGACTTCTGGAGACAGTGCAAATCACTTCCAGTTTTTTATCAAAAGGGAAGAATTGAGAGGTATTTCTGAGGTGTGCACTTTAATGGCATTGGCTGTTAATTTGAGGGGTTTAGTCGTACAGATTAGGTTGCTCTTTAACTGTGATACATTCGGAGTGTAAGACTGTTAATGTCAAAATTGTGATGTTCCCAAACTGCATGAAAAAGTAGAATGATGAGGGTGGTTTTGTTCTTCAAAGAACCAAAGTTCAGTATCAGCAACAAAATGTGCTATCATGTTGTATCTGAATGGGCAGAACAACCTTTAACATAAAAGGTAATAATAATGTATATTGAATAATTATGTTTCTTTTGTTATTTCATTGGGTTTTTTACTAACAAAGTAATTTAGAAGGTTAAATGATTTTTTTTCCCAACAACGCAGGCAAGGGGAATGAATTATCCATGTATAAAATCAAAACAGATATTTAAACAGAGATGGTTGATAAAACTGCATGCACAGATGCTTCTTATTTGTCATTTCAGTTAAAATGTAATTATATTCTCTAATTTGTTTATATTAGTGTAATTACTCCACAGGAAAAAAAAAATATTACCAGAGTACAGAAGTAAGCGTTTCCATTACAGCATTTGTGTGTGTACAGAAAAGATATGATCATCACTGTTTCATAGCAGGGTGCATAGTTTATCAACTACATGCTGAAAAAGTTGTACGCAAGGAAATCAGCCAAACTTTTGAGTCATTCAGGATTATAGATAATGATTACTGTAGACATCAACGTTCATCAAATATTAAGGTCGTTTGCGTTTTTTTTCTTGGCTGGGCAGCAAACTTGCAAAGAAGCGCAAGGATGCCATGGGAACAACCCGCCAGGAGATGACCCACATGGTGAATGCAATGGATAGGAGTTACGCTGACCAGAGCACTCTGCATGCAGAGGATCCCCTTTCAATCACATTTATGGACTCACATAACTTCAGCCCCAGATGTAAGTAGACAGTGATATCTTCTATGTAGCACAGGTGAATATAGAAACACAGAAAACAATTCTACTTTATAAGAAAAATGGTTTCAAGCTCCAGGTTTTCCAGGAACACCGGTAAAGCCAAAGGTTAAATAGGGCAGTCCATGTTATCCTTATTGTTATGTGGCCAATTATTTAAATAAATATCTGCAAGTACTTTCACTATGCAACGATTTTTGTTTTAGGGAAAATATTCTACTAGAATATCTCAGTTAAAATCTGAAACTGAGTTTTTCCTCACGAAGGTATTTAATGAAAACATGTTAAATGTTACTGTGTAAACCATGTGTAGAATAATAATATGAGGTCCAAATTAATTTCTATTGGTTTTTTGGCAGTAAGAACATTATAACAGAAGGAAACATTGACAATTTTCATTGTTGTTTGTGAAGTTTACGAACAAGCTTGTTAATATATCTGCAAATTTTTTCTATATTTGTATTCATTTTTTGTAGACTTGCCAGCTGTCTGGCAGTTTGGGTGTCTGCTAAGTGTCTGGGTTATGGCTACCACTGTCCAGCAGTCTTGCCTCCCAGCATCTGCACTATGCCTTTCACAAAAGCGAGATCCTCCACTGGCAGACTCTGAATATATCAAAATAGTGTATAAGTTTCCAAGGGGACTCAATTCTGTCATGGAACTGGTGGGAACCTGACCTCCTCACAGCTCCATGGACTTGTGGCTTGGCTTTAAACAGATCTGAGCAGCCTGAGCTGCTTCTGAATTGGAATCTTTTGGAAATGGCACTGCATCTCTTTTCTCTTGCCTCCCATACTGCTTACCATGCATGAACAAAATACATCCCTTAAGACTCTTAAGTTCTTTCCTGGTTGTTGTAAGGGAAATGGATTTTGGAGGAGGGTTTATTGCTGGATTTATTGAAGCTTACCAAACTGCAAAGTGCTAACATTTTAAGTGTCCCATAACCAATTATAAACGAGAGTTTAGTATCAGCCTGGTAGTTTTTCTACACAGTTTTGGCTGGAACAGTTTGAAAAATCTCCAAAGTTTGATGTCTTATTGGCACTGAAATTTGTGGAGGCAGGAAGAGCAGAGACAATTTGATATGGGCTTTGATGGTGGATCCCAGGCAAAGTATTCATCAGGAATTTACATGGCTATTGGTGAGCTGGGACCGCCAGGCACTCAGGCAGCCTTCCAGATGGATTGATGCAATGCCAAGAGCCCATGAGCTCCAGCCACCACAACCGTCCTGGTTGGTTGGCAAAGAAGTTGGACATTGCTGGTTTCTAGTATCCTAGGTATGTGATTCTTTTCTGTGTTGGAGGATTCATTTCTCCTGACCATTGTCTGTGCTGAGATGAGTCTTCCAAGCTTTCAGGGTTTCCTGCTATGTGACAAACATTTAGGCAGATTGCTTGAGAACTGGAACTTAATTTTGTCACAGAGAGGTTGATATTCTAATTTCTTGTTCCAAGTTGGAACGAAACCAAATCCTGGATTCCACCATTTCTGTCCAAAACAGCACATTTGTCTAGTGCATGGTTCTAGTTGGGATAATGAAATTCTATGAATTTTATTCAGACATCTGTATCGGTGTATCTGTGATTTTCCTATACTCATTAAGAGCAGTATCTTTGGTATTGCACATTAAAAAAGCTATTAACTGTAAAAATGTATGAAATTTTTATTAATTACCTGGAAGATTTTATAGAAATACCATTTTATTTTGAGATGAGCTGTTGAAGTATTATATGAGAGAATGGGTTTAAAAGGAAAGAAGCAGTTCTATGAAAGTGAACCTTTATTGTGAAGTGAAAGAACAATAGTGAAGGAGGAGCCCTTTCAAAAACTAAATTGCATGCAATGTCTTCTTTATTTCATTTCACTAAGAATCTCTTTGCCCTTATTATTACATTTCTGAAGTCCAAAATCGCTGCCTTTCATTCCTCTTTTATTCAGGATGCTTTCTGGAACTGCATATTCATTTTGTTTTTCTCTTGTAATAACATTAATGGGGTTTAGTTATCAGTTGCTTATACTCTGAAGTATATTGTTTTTACTCTTAAAAATACACAAATTGAGGGTAATGTGTTTCTTCATGGGCTTTGTTTTTCTACAGTGCCCAATGATCCACTTGTGCCGACAGCTGTGTTAGGTGAGGACCCCAGTCCTTCGTTATCCATTCCTGCATGAGTTTTGTCTCCTTGCATGGTTGAACGTTGAAACAGCTTGTTTTATGTAAAACTATCCTGTTTTCAGAAAATAACTCTACACTCAGTTCATCAATTCAGAATTAAACTGGCAACAATTTTAGAATGAAAATTATTTTATATTCTCATTAAGATTTTATTCTTAGTCACTGCTAACTGAAGAGTAAATGAGGAAATAGGTAAATGGAAAATACTAAAATTTTTTTTCCCAGAGCTTTGAAACTGAGTTCCGATAAACTGACATGTGAAACTAGAGCTCTATTAAGAGAGCCTTAAAAATAAAATTCAGGTCCATATTAGCATTATTCACCACCAAAAGTTCAATTTTCTAAGTAACAAGAATAAGAAAAATAGAAAAGAGAAAATTCCAGAATATCCAAGAAGAAACAACAGCTTTCTGTGTATGTTCTGAACAAATACTTCTGTATACCTATATTAATTACACATTTCAGGTGACATTAGCTAGTAAATTTTTCAGCTTTTTACTTACTTCAGAAAGAAGAACATATGTTGGAATGTCCAGACTGCTTATGTCTGCTGAATCTAACACTGAATGCAGGTTTTAGAGTCACTGATTTTTTTTTATTTTTTTTTTTTTAGATACGAAGTGAAAAGTATAATTTGTACCCAAGTTCTTGGTTGGATAAACACAATGTGCAGTATTGAGTTTCAGTCAGTTGCTGAGGTTATTTTAGGCTAAAAGACAAATATCAGGAAATGGGCGTGAATATAAACAAGTTGAAAATTAGATTCCTAGAAGTAGCACTTAAAGGAGCCTGGGGGCAATTTAATCCCTCCTGTGTTTTGAGATGGGACATTATACATAAAATATAGACTCTTTCTGGCAGTTGATTGCCTCATTGTGTTTTAAACATTTGGAGTGAACAGAATTTTGCTCTTGCAGTGGCATGTTCCAGTGCCTTGCTCCTCTTAAGTAAAAATAAAATTCAGATTCATGTTAGTAAAATTTGGGATCCAAAGCTCAATTTTCTGGGTATTAATTACTGAGTGCTACTACTAAATATTATTGATACTTACCCCTAGTATTTCCTAACTAGGCTAATCATTGCTGTGGATTGAGCCATTTCCTTTTGAGGGACTCATAGGACTCATGCTTCTGTCCTTTCAAAACAGTCTTTTTCCCATTGAAAGGCTCACATGTCCTCAACTGTCTCTCTTACAGTTGAGTTAAACTCAGTTCTTTCACTCATCATCTTGTAGCCGATGTTTTCTAAATTTATTGTCATTATTTTCCTCTCAACACTTTCCAGCTCATAGGTTGAATTTTAAATTGCAGTGCCTCAAATCAGGTACAGTTCGTTGAAGAAGTCTCAGTGCTGAGCTGAGTGGTTTAGGTACCCCCATATTCTACTTGCATTTTTCCTGCTATCCGAACTGTATTTTCTCCTTTTTATTGTGCTCATGTTGCTGACTTGCATTGAGTTACCTGTTAAAATCACAGTTATCATTAGCCAGTCCATTACTCCATTCTGTAGTTTTATATTTGACTTCCCTTTCCAATACACACACAGTGTGTTGCATTCACCATTCAATTCACCTTGTTGATTTTCTCATTGTCTCCCAAATAATCAAGATAACTTTTAAATCTGATCCCATGCTTGTGAAATGCTTGTGGTACCTTACCACTCATATAAGAAAATACCCATACTGTCAGGGTATTTTCTGCTGTGGCAGACACAGATAAAGACAATTGTGAACAGCAAGGGCAAGGAACTAACTGAAGAAGAGTTTAAGAGTTCCTATCTGCATTTCCATCCAGTGGTAATGCTATTCTGGGCACGATGGTCTCCTGGTATATGCAAAACAATGAAAGTTAAAAGAGATAATATTTTTCATTGAGTGGACTGAAATAGTGGGAGGGAAGTGTACAAGCTTTTGGACACACCATGTAAAAGAGGCTGGGTACCTGTAAACTTGTTCCTTTGGAACTGGATCATTTGGCCTACTCCATATAACCCTTGCTTGGCCCAGTGTCACAAAACAGTTTACTTCTGCTCTTATTTAGAGATGAGCAAAATTTTCTAAATCATAGAACACGTTCTTTTATATGAAACTCTTATTACTTTGTAGCTATACCAGATTTCTTTTTCTTCATGTATAGGTTATTAATGCTGCTCTCCATTCTGTGTACGTTAGCACTAAGTTAGTATGACAATTTTGCTTTTCTCAAGTCCCTATCATTACAGTGATGGCATAATAATGTGGCCCTTATATTTTTTAAATGGCTTTCATTGTTACCTATTGTGAAGCTTTAACAACTTTTAATGTCACTTTCTTTTAGTCATTTTCTATTATAGTCCTGAAATAAATTTCTTATGTTCTGTTCACTCATTGTTTTTTGCTGCTTCAATGGGTTAAAGTGCCTATTACTGGTAAGTATACTGCAAGGAATGGGGAGAACTGCAAATCCTGAGGTGGTTTGAAATGTGTGCAATTTAATAGGGGTAACACTGCAATAAAAAGTGACTGCTGCATGTCACTCACATTATTAAGCAGGTTAGTGAGGCATAAATGTACTGAAATTAGCAGCTTCTGTGACAGTTCAAAAAATCAGGTTTCTTAGGAGATTTCATTTCAGAAGGCATTAACAGAGTTTGCATTTTGGCAAAATTGTAGAAAATACAACCCTTGAGGTGTTCATTTTTTTTTCCTAGAGTGTTTTGCCTTCTAATCTGGATCCTTTGCAAGGAAAATGGTAAACAGATTTCAAAGAAGTTTAGGAGGGGTCAGCTACCCACTTCTCGTTTCAGTAGCTGTTTTCTAAAAAGGTTTAAATTTGAATTTTTCTTCCTCTGCAAATTCATTTGATCTGATGATTGCTAATTTAAATAAAATAACTATTTCACAAAAGGGATTGACAAAATGCGATCACCTCATGCATCTTTGATGTTTGGTTTTGATATGAAGATTAGTGTAGCATAGAGCATTAGAAGAAACTTCTTTGTTTATACAGAGCAAAAATTGTGGATGAAATCAGCACACTCAACAATTTCATTTCTCTGCTAAAAGACCTGAGTTAAAATGACCACTCTGAAGTGCTGATTCATCTTCCTAAGTGGAGGTGGTGTTCTGAATCGTGGCATAATTGCTTTTTTTTTAACTGGGATCTCAACTGTTTGTTGGTTTTAGACAAATTATGTGCTGATATCACTATAGAATTATTCTAATTTATTGTTTAGGGTGTAGTATTGCTCTTGATACATATTATCCATTAAAAAGTTACTTTGGGTGATAGAGTCTGGAGTTTCCAAGTACGTTAATGTCATAAAGTTTTGTAGCTTCAAATAAAATGCCCTTTAGACATCTTTATTGTGGGATGAAGGACTGCAAACTTTCATATGAGTTTGCTGTTAAATTCTTTTATGTACTTCACAGTATTTATGTGCTGGAGAGTAAGTGCTTTGCGTTCTCAGAAATTAGATATGTTTTTGAAGGAAGAGGTTGAAAATAGATATTGATATGTGTAGCAGCAGCTGTTATTGCTCTGCAGGTATCTAATGCATTGATTTCTTGTGAATACAGATGAAAATCACAGTGCTACAGCAGAGTCCAGCCGACTCCTGGATGTCCCTCGTTACCTCTGCGAAGGCACAGAATCCCCCTACCAGACTGGGCAGCTGCACCCTGCCATCAGGGTGGCTGATCTCCTGCAGCATATTAACCTAATGAAGACCTCTGACAGCTATGGATTTAAAGAGGAGTATGAGGTGAGATCTTCAGTGGTGGGGCTTTGCTAGGAAAATTCCCTTTGAAATGGGCAGCCTTTTGTTTGCATTGTATTGCAAAAGGATGGACTAAATGACATGGGTTTAAGTGAAAAACAGATAAACGGACATAAGATTCCTATATATGTAACCAAAAGTGAAATAGTGAATGGAGTCCAATAGTTTTAGCCTTTACTACTGACTAGTAGAAAACCCCTGTGTGTTCCTTAGGGTATAAGAAGACATGTCCTTAATCTTTTTGACGTATTGTAAGAAGTTGCCACTCTTTTGTTGCTGCTCTTTAGTGGAAATGTTGTAATTAGTTATGTGAACTATCTTCAGTGCAGATCTCCTGGATTAGGTTAAAGATTTTAACCTGGCTGGTTTCACAAGAAACATTGACTGGAAGCACTTTCATGATTTATTATAGCATCTCAGTAGGGCAATACTGGGACTTAAGTCCAACCAAGAAGCAGTAAAGACATGCTGAGGGTAGTAATGTCTTGAAGTTCTAATTAAACCTGCCTGAGAATGTCTACTTACAACTTTAATGTTAAAATGGAAGCAAAAAATTCCCAGCACTGGCGGTAGAAGATGAGTACAGATTAATTTCACTTCTGATCTCTGAATCTGTTGTGATTCTTTGGGATTAGAACATCAGGCAGGACACACAGAAAAGATGGGAATGGTACTGCCAAGGTTGCTCACAATACAGCTAGGTTTAAAATGAGTTTTCTCTGAGTAAGTAATCTCTTCTGACGCAGTTTTCAACCTTCTCTCCTTTCTGCAGCTGTCTCTACTGTAACATAAGAACTGGAATAAATAAATGTGTGGTTTTTAAAAGAATATTATTCTCTTTTCCTCTCTTTTACTTAAATATACTTCATTATGCTCTACCTAACTTCAGGGCTAAGGCCAAGTGTCAGCCACTGTTGGGGGGAGGGTGGTCCCTGATGCCACATCAGGTGTTTTCCTACTTGCTACTTCTTCTATTACTATACACAACATCTATTCCCTGCCTTGGGCTTCTGACTGTGCATTAAAGTTCTGTTTCCATGGCTACTGTGTATTTTCTGGAGATAACTTACCCAGATCAGGATAAGAGAACATCTGGAAGGAAGGAATAGCATAGACCTGCAACTGCTGTAAAATATCTACGAGCAATGAAGAAAAAACCAAGGAGAAATAAAAGCTGCTTCTGTCGCTACTGAGAGATCAAACTCTTTAAGAGCTCAAAAATGTAGAACAATTTTGCTAGTGGCTAGAGGGAGGCATATGAGGAAAAGCAACATGAACAATGAACAATGGCAGAGGAGATTTCCTGATGCCTCTGTAGAAAGAAAAGCCATTTTACTAAGTAAGATGTGGACAGCGATGTAATGCTGGAGTAAACAGGCTGTATATTATGGTGTCCTGTAAGAAGAGTGATCAGTTTCTCTGTGCGTTCTCAGTTTGCTGTCATTACTCCATAGCAAGTATGTATAAGCAAGTTTAGCCTTCCAGCAATTCCAGGATTTGGAATCCCTCTGGAGTTCCTCAGTGACTTGCCCATTTACTCATAGCAGTCAGAGGGAGCCTTCCTTCTTCTCTAGCTATATTTATATACCATGATACCACCTGGGTGACCAGGGCAGACAAGCCAAGCTGAGCTTACTTAATGGTAGAGCAGTTCTTTTAACCTGTTATTTCTGGAGATAAATTAATGGTCAGAATGTTTTCTTTCGGAACATTTTTATTTATAGAGTTTCTTTGAGGGGCAGTCAGCTTCTTGGGATGTCGCTAAGAAGGATCAAAACAGAACAAAGAACCGCTATGGAAACATTATAGCATGTGAGTATCGGTGTCCTTGGTTTGAGCGATAGCTCTACTCGTGTATTACCCATGCTGTGTTCTCTCTTCCTTTACAAATCTCCAGTGGCATAGCTGTTTAATACCCTCAGCTGAGAAGCAGGACAGTGCCTTTTTCAGCTTTTTTTTTTGTCCTTCACAGTTCAACTTTCTTCCTTTTATAACTCAGGCTGAATTTCGCATTTGCATCTCCGTTGTGCAAGCGGTGGTAAGCATACATCAGCAACAAGCAACATCATTTGGATGTTGATTCTGTTTATTTGCAATTTGTATTGTTTTACCAGTGCTATTGAACACACAGGAATCAAGGTGCCAGAGAACTGTCTGAATGGGTAGACTTACCTCTTCATCGAATCCCAAGTGCATTACTAACCCCCATGTTTTGACTTCATTAATGTCTCAATATGAACTTGAGTAGGCTTGGGTTGGAAGTGAGGAAACAGTAATCAGCATTTTTGGTTTTCTAGATTGCCAGCAGTGGAGCTGATATTGAAAGGGACTTTGAGCAAGTAACCGGTTTTCTTTGTGTCTTTTTAACCACGTGTAACAGTGCCAACAACTTTCAGCTACACTTAATGAAATTAAGTGAATGTTTTTTGAAATAATTGGAGACCTCAAACAAAACGGTTCTTTGTAATTCTGTATGAACACTTCATATTTAAAGATTGTAAATTGTGAGGTGCTTATGCCAGCTGATTTTGGTTTTCTAGATGACTTACCGTTAGTATCTTACTTAAAAAATCACACTTCAAAAAGGCTCCGTAACCACTTGGTTTTTACAGATGACCACTCCAGGGTGATTTTGCAACCTGTTGAAGATGATCCATCTTCAGATTACATTAATGCCAACTACATAGATGTGAGTGGAATGCACAGCTTTCTCCCTCTCAATTTGCCAGCTTCTCTATGTGAAATTATTGCATGCTATGCCTACAAATTTATTGAAAGCTTTCTTTTATTAAGAACAAATGTACACTTTCCTTGTTCTACGTCCTAGTACTCACTGACATTGTTGTGCTTTCTTTCACATCTGACTTTGGTTTGGGCTGTAGATTTGGCTGTACAGGGATGTAAGTACCACTATATGTGAATAACAGCATCCTATTGTAAATATTTAATATAGATATTGTTATTAATTACTTTCCTCTTCTATTTTTATCAGTTGATAACTATGCATGCCTCATCTAATTTACCTCATCTGTTCCTTTAAAAAATTTCTTTTTTGTGTGAATATTTTTTGTATCTGTTTTGAAAAAATAATTTAGCCTTTTAGCATAATTATACCTTTTAGCATATTATTGGATGTTAGATAACTCAGGTGAGCCTGTCTGTTAAAGAGAACTTGCTGTTCTCATTTTTTAGTGATGATTTTCGCCACTAGCTTTTCTTTTTCCCTTCCCATTTATATGTGAGAAACTAGATAGTATGCTGTACTGTAATTGTCTGAAAATGTACCTGTGGAGTAGCCATAATGTATGTTTGGCAAAAAGGGAGGGATTATGACATTTGTGGGTTAGGTTGGGTTTTGGAGGGGGGGGTTGTTTCTTTTTAACAACGGTTTAGACAAACAATATTTAGGTGTCATTTATCTTAATGTGCTAATTTAGGTATTACAAAGTATATGCACAAACACATTTTATATAAATATTTTAATGTAGTAAAAATTTCCTCACTTCTGCAGAAAACCTCTAAAGTTCAAAATTCCATACTTTAATCAGAATACAAATTAAATTATAAATTTAAAAAAAAAAAAGTGGTACAAATTTTGCCAGATGCTTTGATTAACAACATATAACTTTTCTCTAATTAACACCATAGGAATAAACAAGATGTTGTATTCAAAGTAATTCCAAAGTAATTTGAAAGGTAGTGGAGTAACTACTACAAATGTTTTTCAAATACGTGGAGTTTGATTACTTTTCTTTATAATTGAACCTTAGCAGTTTTTCCTGACCACTGTTAGTTGATAAATTATTTAAGAACCCTTGAATTTCCAGGATATAAAGATTTAGCTCTAGATACATATATATATATATGTCTTTTTATTTGGATATTTTAACAAGACAGTCTCTGTGAAGTGATAGGCCCATGATATTTTGCCTGGGGCCTTAAACAAGAAAACTCTCCCAGATTTGTAATAATTCCAGTTCCTTGAGAATATTGTTTTTCTGATTTAGGAGTGAATTGAATCTCATTAGAGCCAGACAAGAAAGCTACGAGTTAAAACTGGTACTTGGCAATTTTTAAGTGGCACTTCTATCTTCTTCTGGAAAGCATTAATGAATGTAAACCAGTGTAGCCCAGGTTCCACTTTCATAATTTGAATCTGGGGCTTGATATTAAGAACTCTAGGAAAAATTTTTTAGTCATTTGATGCGATCTTGGTCTCTTATAAAGCCAAGACTAAGATACTCAGAAGTTTTTTCATACGCCCCAGAGGAAGGTATTCTCTCTCTAAACAGGATAATGAAGCAGTCTGTGGAAAAGAATAAAACTTCCTTGGGTTTGTTGAAGTCCTTCAGTTTAGTAGTATCTTGTGAATACCAGGAATCCAAGGGCTTGTGCTCCCCTGTAATGCAGTGCTTCAAGCAAGTGGCCTAGTAAAACTGTAACCTAGAAAAAAATTGGAGTTATTAACATTTGCACATCATGAAATTCTGTATTGTCTTCTCACCAACAATACTGAACTCTCCTTCCTCTTTGTAGCTAAGTGCCTAGCTTGCACTGGTCAAAATGTACTGTGAATTATTTCCTTAAGAGCAGCACCTCTTTGTCTTGTAGTTTTTATGTAGGCAACTAGTGCTATATAGTACTGGGTCTAGACCCATAGACCCAGCTACCTGGAAAAGCTTAGTTGTGTAGGGTTACCCATCTACATATCTATATATATCTATATCTATCTGTATCTATATATATATACACAAGTATGTGTATATACTTGTGTGTATCATGCCCACTATAACTGATGCACACTTTGTGCAGTCAAGCAGAACATTTCACTGCAGTAGGACCTCGATACAGTGCGCACATCAGTGTCCAGCTCTGTCCCCATTAGTTAGAGCTGGGGTATATACCTCTGTGCCTTACAAAGATGCTCTGTTTAGAAGAAAAAAGGTGTATATTTTTTCATATTGGCTAAGTTAGGAACACAGATCAACTACTGAGATAATATGGTGGCAAAGAATTTTTCATAAATTTTAAGTAAATGGCCCAGTGTATTTGGCTGGGGAAATAATGTCAATAGATAACTAATTTTTAGGCACAGGGGACCCATCTAGAATACTCCTTCCCAGTACAATACAATGTCTGTTCAAGTCAGATGTTCTTATTTTCATTTTATCTGTTGTCATTCGAACCTTTTCAATATTAATTGTTTTTTTAGATTTTGAGATTCATGCTGCTCTTAAATATTGGTTTGTTCTGAAAATGTTGTCTAGAATTAAGGCTTTTATTTTTCACTCTCTGTTAGTAATATGGTACTCAAACCAACTTATATTGCTGTTTTAGGGATATCAGAGACCAAGTCACTACATTGCAACCCAAGGTAAGGATCTACCAGCTTTAATCAAATCAAACAAGTGTTCTCTGTAGTGTCCTGAAGTGTTTTGGTAAAATGGAAGTAGATGGAAATACAGCATACATAGTATTGTGAGTTGTCATCTTGTGTTATGGTAAAATAACATAGGTTATTTTGTCCAGGTGGAATGTGAATAAATTCAAAAATTGCACTAATTTATCGTGTTAATTAGCTATTGAGCAAATCTTTTAGTGATAAATTCAGATGATAAAGTCAGAAGCTACTACCATGATTTCCAATTATGAAGATGAATAGAGAAAAGAGATGTGGACAGAAGAGAACAGTTTCAACCTGCCTTGAGGCATTTTTCTTTCCATATTACAGTGTATTATTTTATTGTCTAGGATTTAGTCCAGGATGCAGTGAAGATAGTAATGATAAATTAAACTCTGTCTCAGAAAATCTGGGTAAAGTAAGTCCAGAGGACAAAGAGGACCCCTCTTTATAGAAAGGAGTGAGGGAAATCTTTGTCATGTAACACCCTACTAATAAAAAGAGAGGTTAGAGAAAAAAACTGAAATTCTATGGAAATTATTAATGTTGTGTTTCTGATAAAAAACACTGTTTTTCCTCACAGTGAGGAAAAACAAATAGATTAGTCTAAGATTGCACTGAAATATCAGAGGATATGAATTAAAGTAAAAATAATTAGATTTAGGTGTGCCATTATTTCATCTCTAAATATAATCAGATAGCTGTCTGGAAATATCCTGTTATTTGTGCCCCTGGTCGATTGTAGCTGCACACAGGAAAGACAAAATAAAGACTTGTTTTAAAGCAGAATGTTCAAAGTTCTGTCCACGTGTTTAATTTTTGTGTAATTGCTGCCTAAATAGGTCTCTCTATGGTAGTTAAGTCTACATTTGCATTTTATTTTTGTTTTACTATGTAAATCATTGCACCTAATAGTGTGTAAAGGAGACAAAAGTTTATTGCTGTTTTTGTGTGCAGCCTTTGATCTAACATGAAGGAATACATTTTAGTCTTCAAATGTGGCACTTAGGTTTAGTGGTGCGCTCAGCAGTGCTAGGTTTGCAGTTGGACTCAATGATCTTAAAGGCCTTTTCCAACCTAAATAATGCTATGATTCTATGCGTGTTATATACAGTAATATTTATATTACTGCTGGATGGTCAGGAAGCTGTTTCTAAGGTTATTGTATCAGTGTAAAAGCCTCTGTCACTCAGCATGTCTCTGCAGCAGAGCAGGAGGCAAAGCTTAAATTAGTGCTCTTCATCTGCCTCACAGAAAAGTAGTTAAGTTAGTTTATATACACTGCAGTGGGAAGTTTACGGCTCAGCACCTACTTGTGTTTCTGAGCTTTGCCAGCATCCGGATGGTAAGTGCACAGTATCTGTACCAGCAGCCCTCCTGCCTGATACTTCACTCTGGCATGGGCATCTTGGTGAGCACCTGAAGAAACTGACTCTTAACACATTGTATTGAACAAATGGAAAACAAATCTGGAAGTGTAACTGTAGATGTAGTCACACATTGCTGTGTCCTTGTAGTTTTCAAGCAACTTCTGGCATTTTGGTACACGAAACACCTGCTATTAGTTTCTTTCAAGTGGTAATTCAGTTAAATTGAGAAGATTCAGCATTGGTTAGAAAAAGCATTATAGTCTGGAAACTGTCACAATGTTACGATGATGTGGTTTTGCAAAGCTTTCATCTCTGAGCAAGTGTGCTCATGTACATCAGCTCTGAAAACCACTGGATTTTATTTTTAGCACTTGTTTGACTATTAGTTTTTTGCAGAATATTATCTGGATTTTTTTCTTACAGGTCCAGTTCATGAGACTGTATATGACTTTTGGAGAATGATATGGCAGGAGCAATCTGCTTGTGTTGTGATGGTCACAAATTTAGTGGAAGTTGGGAGAGTAAGTTTTTGGTTTTGTTTTATTTTTAATGCTGCAAGGTTAAAAAACAACCTGCTGACAAGACACACTATTGGCAGAATGTAGAAGGGTCTTGTGAAGGATGATCCTGCATCCTGAGAGGGGAAGGGGCAAGAGTCCAGACATTGCTGCCATTACAGCATTGCATAAAAATGACTTCTGAAGGTGTTTGCCTTGTTGCTTTCATGAGTAGTGAAAAATTGTCTAAATCAAAAATTCATATTTCAGCAATATAGATTTGCATATTGTCACTCAAATGAGGAGAGTAAATGGACTAGTGAGGAAATGAACTTCAATATCAGTGGCTAGAAATCAGCAAATTATTTATAGTTCAGCAGTAACACATCCCTCAGGGAGTTCTATAAAGTATCTGGGATTACTTGCAACAGTTTGATTATGGATACAAAATACATCCGAGTTTAACCTAAGTGGAAATGTATTCCATAGCTCAACACTAAAAAAAAATACAAATACATATTTAAAAGTGAATTTGGCATCTAAGTACAGCTGTGTAAAGCAGTGGAAACTCCTTGTAGCTAGTGCTTAACTTAACAGCCATTAGCCATGACAAGCCACATGAGTGCATGGTCATTTTGGAAATAAATGTGGTGTCATTTATCCTCAAGCTTTTCTTTTCCATTGGTGTAAAATACATACCCATTTTGTATTTAGGTCAAGTGTTACAAGTACTGGCCTGATGACACAGAAGTTTATGGGGACTTCAAAGTGACCTGTGTAGAGATGGAGCCCCTTGCGGAGTACGTCGTCAGGACATTCACTTTGGGAAGGGTGAGCAGTGAGCACATTTTGAAAGGGCTCAGCAAAATACTGTTCCCTGGTAGCAAGTAGGATGAAAGAGGCTATGCTGACATGTATTCCTGTAGAATACCAAATCCCTCTGGCTCATTAGCAGGCCCACAGTATAGGCACCCTTACCTCACCATGGGAGTTTTGCATTGCATCAGCACTATCCAAACATGTATCTCACTTTGGGACTTTGAATTTCCCAAGAAACGTCAACTGCTGCCCTCCCCTCTCTGATAGTCACCTCTTCTCTATAGCCATGCTTCTGAGCTGAGCTCAAATACCAGGTTATGAGTCATGCCTGCTGTTCACCTCCATTCACTCTGTTTTGACTGCTGCTGAGTCAATCTCAGTCAAAGGACAAAAGTCTTAATTAGCAAAACTTCTGAAAATCAATATAAAATGCATCTAAGTCTATACCAAACAAAAAAACATCTAACACAGCAAAACTGGCATACTTAATGTTGAAAGTAAAAATACAAACTTCAAAATTAAAAAAAACCCAGTAACATCTGTAAGCTTCCTGTGGGTCTTTGCTTTAAATAGTGAAAGGATGAAAACTGCATCTAGATTCTATCAGTATCTGTCATTGTTATTGGAGTCAGATAAAATCTAGTCTATGAAATACTTTGAATGTCATAACCTTTGGTTTTTTGCCTTTTTCAGAGGGGCTACAATGAAATCCGTGAAGTTAAACAGTTTCATTTCACTGGCTGGCCAGATCATGGAGTTCCTTACAATGCCACAGGCCTGCTTTCCTTTATACGGAGAGTCAAATTATCTAACCCTCCTAGTGCAGGGCCTATTGTTGTCCATTGCAGGTGTGTACAGAAGGGGCAAGATTGATTTTTTCGACAAACGTGTATATGATTATTTACAGTAGTCTACTCTGGAGCATTCATCATTTTGAATTGTTTTGGTTTTGTTGTTCTATTTTTGAATTGCCTAACTGACACTGCAGTAGGATTTGACTGTCTAAAGCAATGTCTGGAAATAACCAGATTCTAGTACACTTTTCCTAAAAGCAATAACCAGAGAATTTCTTTTTCCTGCAACATCTGCACCAGCTAAATCATATAATACTTTAGGCTATCATTTTAGGTAACCTACAACAATTTTGTGACAGCATTCGAGAATGAGCGTAGATATATCTGCTCTGATAGTTTGGTGTTGCATATAATGTCTGAACAGATTATTAATTTAAATCAAAGTAAGCAACTAGATGAAGGAAGATGGAATGAGGTTAATGGCAACAAATACAGAACGTTGTTTTTCCTGTGCAGGTTTTGCAAGGTTTTGTTGTTGGGACACAGTCCTTTGACAAATAGAATTTGTTTTCAGCAAATGTGTGATTTTCTTAAACATTTTCATCAAATGTTTAATTACATTTTGTACATAAAGTTGCTTGGCCTTTATAGATTTTAATAATTCAGTGTGCAAAAACTGTCCATAGCTTTATGTAAAACCAAAATAAATCATGAGTGAATCTTCTGAATACAATACTGTGTTAAATGTGCTGTCTGAACTAGCTTGGAACTTGGCAAGTAAAACATACATTTGAGTTTCTGGTTGCAATATATATCACTTAAAATCATCCTTAGTCTTATTAAAGAAAAGATCTGTCATATTCTGAAGTGCATAAGCTTAATCATGCTCCAGATTTCAGTTAAACTAATTTTTTTTCCTTAATTATTGACCTGGATGATAAAAGGAAGGGGTTTTTTTTTTTTTTTTTTTTTTTTTTGCTGTTACTTAGTGGCTAAAATCTGGTGGGAAAAGGTTGTTTTGGACACATCAAAAGATTTAAAGAACATTATGATAAGAAGATAAAAATTAGATAGTGTTTGTGATGACAAAACTGAATGTCGTTATAAAAATGCCCTCAGTAATGGTTATAAAGTTTGTAGATGTTTTGCTGGGGATATTCCTAACAGTATTTACTGGTTCTTTTTAGTGCTGGTGCTGGACGGACAGGTTGTTATATTGTCATCGATATCATGTTAGATATGGCAGAAAGAGAAGGTGTCGTGGATATCTACAACTGTGTCAAAGCTTTACGGTCCCGTCGCATCAACATGGTACAGACCGAGGTATGGCAGTTCGCCTTCAAAGCCTTTTGAAACAGACTACGTCAGAATTTCACTGTGGCTGTGAAAAGAGCAGGCAGTGGCCTTCTTGAGGGTTTATCTCCATCAGGGAGCATTGCTTAGTGTTAGCAGTGCCCAGAACGAGGGTGGTGCAACAAACGTGACAACTCTTTTAGTCTTCACACAAACAAGTGCCCACCTCACTGGGTAACAAAAGGAAAGCAAGGAGGATTTTTTTAGGGAAGACCCTACGTAAGACCTGTCTGGGACATTTTTCCCCAGCTCTGGTATCAGCAATTCCAGGAACCCACAGGTGGAATTTCAGCAGGTTGCCACTGGACCATCTCCAATCACTTTCTCTATTGACTGTTGCACTTTATGTCTATTTCTCTCTCCCTTTTCAACTCTGTTTTTGTTTACTTTATTAACCTTGCTGCCAAGCTTTTACCATTTTTTACCCTTTTGGTTTTTCAACATGTCTTCAGCAGCTTCACAGTAAAAACCATTGCCTTTGTAATGAAGCTTAGTAATGAAGTTCCCATTCTGCCACCAGAGTACCATTGAGCTTCCACGGAAACATAGGTTATTGGTTTATATTAAGACAGGTGACCCGAAGTGGTTTGCCTTTTCTCTCCATAGGGACTTCTACCTGAGAAGTTATTTCATCTGTGACCACATGGAAATCTCTGCAGTTGGCAGCCAGGCATATCAGTGTAATTTGGTGCAGTTTTTATTCCATGCTTCAACCTGTGTCAGTTGAACAAATAAATGTTCATGGTCAGCTAGTCCTGCTACAGGGCCATTAACCTTTGGGAAGTGCCTGGGATGTAGTGTTTCAGTCTGACTGCATCCCACCTGAGTCTGCATGTGAATTAACACCTCTATTATTATTCCTTTCTCTTTCTCTCCTTTTTGCCTCTTACCTTCTCTCAGAGGTTCATACTTACATAGAAAAATAAAGCTGTAATTGGAGCAAGTTCTTGTTATATAGGCAACCGTGATGCCAATAGCTCTATACCTGTGTGGGTAAGGCAGCAAAGGCTGTAGAGACAGAACATGACCATGGTCTCTGGACACGTGCTGTTTCTACAGGCACATATTAAAGTTTGTGCTGTTAGAACCTCATTTGTATACACAGTAACTAGGTGAGGCTGGCACAGTTCTAGACATGGTTTACATCTATTACTCTAGGGGTGAGTAAATATAATGGGCATTGTGTAAAAATTGACAGAAGACTTAATTGAAATAGCAGTGCAGTTATCGAGGACTCAGGCTATCTCAAGGCAAGTCGGAAAAAAATGGGAAGAAATGGTGCTTTTGTTGGAACATACTTGAATTTATTACTGGCCTAGAGCTGGCTATGAGGCAATTGGGGTACTAGCTTGCACATGCATGAGGAGAGTGCAGTGTGCCAAATACTGGCTAATCACTCTAGTAGTGCTTGAAGCAATTTACTCTTTCTGTTATTATCAGAAGTCTGAAACCTATTAAAAAAATTAGTATTACCAACAAGTCATTGGCATATGCACAGAAACCCATAAGCACTGCAAGAAAACTAAAAAGCTCATGTTAAATAAATTGCTATCCCCGCTTTGTTAAATTTTACTGAATTTAAATTGGTCATGAAGAAAATGTCCTTGTTAACTGCACCCCAATAAGAACAAGACTGTGTTTGTATTGAAACATTATTTAATGTATTGATGGACACTACCTTGATGAGTTTTACAGTGTGCAGTAAATCTGTTTATCCTAAAATGTTTTTAAATCCTAAAATGTTTTTAAATGGCTATAATTTTTGTTTCTTTTCCTGATTTGATAGGAGCAGTACATCTTTATTCATGATGCCATTCTAGAAGCTTGTCTGTGTGGAGAAACTGCCATTCCTGTCTGTGAATTCAAAGCTGCTTATTTTGATATGATTAGAATTGACTCTCAGACAAACTCTTCGCATCTCAAAGATGAGTTTCAGGTATTCACAGTTCCTACTAACTCTTGATGCAACAACAATTTTTTTGCCTCTAGATACATTTAATTTATTTCAATGAAAAGGCTTTTCAAATAACTTTAATAGCATTTGGTCTCTACCTTTTGTACACAAAATAAAGCACCCACATTTATGTGCTTTGCAAAGTTGTTTTAAATATGGAATATCCTTTCTTTAATAAAATAGCTTAGAAATATCTGTCTGGAATAATGAGCAGTGAGTAGGAACCAACAGAGAGTTTTGGCTTGCATTTGCACAGCTAAGGAATAGCTCTTTAGGGCTCCAAAGGATCTTGATTTTTTATTCCTTTCGGAAAGGATGCTGTCATGCGGAATGTGTTCAGTGGTATGTTGAGTGCCTTTCATACCCGCAGCTTAACCTCCCTTGAAAAGCACCAGCATGTCCAGCAAATGGATAGGAGCTCATATTTGCTAATGTCTTCTCGCTAGCGCCTCACGTTTTCTCATATTGCAATATTTTACATTAAAACTTGCGGAATCTTGAGTCCATTTTGTGTTGATTCAGCACACTAAAGCAAGCATCCTCTTTCCCTTAGACCCTGAATTCTGTGACCCCTCGCCTGCAAGCGGAGGACTGCAGCATAGCCTGCTTGCCAAGGAACCATGACAAGAACCGCTTCATGGATATGCTGCCACCTGACAGATGTCTGCCTTTCTTAATTACTATTGATGGGGACAGCAGCAACTACATCAATGCAGCTCTTATGGACGTAAGATACTATCTTCTTTGTCTGCACAGTTTGCCATGAAAAGCTCTGTAATATAAGAGAGAGCACTTGCTGGTTTAAGAAAGGGTAATTCTTTGTTACTGCAGTGCCCAGTAAAACAGTCCTAATGAAGAAGTTTGGGGGGGAATGGGTAAGAAGCCCCACTAGCTTGTGTTGTTTGTTCAGAAGGTTTGTTATCTTTAGCCTTTTGCATCTTTGTGGGACCCTCACTGGAAATCTCACCTTTTTGACAGCATTATATAAAGCTCGAGTCTCTAGATGTCCAAATCTCAAATCTCAGCAGGATCTCAAAAATCTACTGTTTGTCAGATAACCTGTCTGAGCATGAGGTTACTGTCACTATTTCATAAAAAAAAGCTTTCTATATTGAGGCAGGAGTGACAGAGGAAGAAAAAAATTGTTTCTTTGGCATGTTTGGGTATAGACTTGGGGGTTTTGTTGTTCATGTTTTGAGTTGCAACTCTTTAAAGTTTAACTTTGAGTGACAGAAGTACTTATCAGGGGAAAAGGTGAATTAATAGGAAAAATGGAGTTGAACCTGCTTATACAGGTCTAATCGATAAATCTGTTCATCACACATGCTGCCGTATACCTGCTTGTGCCTCCCATTGGCATTTCCAACAATAGGCCCCTAAAGCTACCTTTACAGTAAATACTTAAACAAGTGGCCTGATTTCCAGGGACACCTCACCTTCCTCAAAAATAAAGTGGTGTCAGAAACTGCCATGTCAAGGAGACATGTTGGAATAAAATAGCAAATAGCAGCAGAAATCATTAGCACTGAATGATGTAGCCATCTTTGAGTTCTGCCTGAGCTAGTGCAGGAAACATTTGAACTGATAGCAAAATGCTGTCCCTAATCTCAGAATTAGCTATTGTGCCAAAAAGATTAGAGGAGTAGCATATGTAAGACCAATGTATTAGGGAGTCACTGGGTGACTGAGTCAATGGATGAATAAAAGCAGTGAGCAGAATTTTGGTAGCAATCAAAACTGTTTAGAATTGCAGTTAAAATTACATTAAGTACTTGGATAAAATTGATGGACTATGGACCAACCAACACAGCTGCACAGAGGAGTGTAGTCTGGGGTGAAAGGAAGACAACACAGGCTGTGGGTGGCAAGAGGACTTTGGGTGTGCAACAGTATGTGGCAGCAGACACAAGAACCAAGCAATGTATTAATGGATCAGAAATCAGAGACAAGTAAGGAAAGGCAGAATTTTTTAAGACTGATTTATTCACAGGGGGGAATTGCTCCTGGACAAGGAAAGAGGACTTTCAATAGCAAAATAGAAACAGAAACTTTCCCCTTATCTTTCTCTTATCTCAAGAAAGACTAGAAATTATGGGGAAGAGGGATAGGAAAACATCAGCTAGGACATGTTCTATTTCTTAAAAATACAGGGGAAGAATCAAAATTGGTTGTTCCTGTGTTCTCCCTGGGCAGATCTAGGAAGGAAGACACAAGCTGCTACTACCCCAACATGATTCCTGCATTAGAAAAGGATAGGAAAAATTTAGATTAAAAAAACTGGCAGCCTCCTTACTCTCTTGTCAAACAAGTACTGATCATAAGGACAAGTTACAGTACAATAATAACAAGTTATTGGAGGTTATGTCAGTATATTGCACATGAAGATCCCTTATATCAATCTTCAAACAAGTAAGCTTCCATACTGGAAGTGGTTTATCTATGGTACTAGGTCTTTCTCTTAAGTTAATTTACTTAATTCAGTAAAAAAAGAGCCAGACTGCTTTTGGTACCAGCATTGGTGCTAAACATGGGGGTCTCTGTGTTGCATACAGTAGTCCCAGCAACTTCTTTTTCAAACTGGTGACTTAAAATCCCATCCACCTCCAAGAACATTCACCACCTTATTCCATTTCTCAGATCAACCTCTTGGTGCTTCCTTACTACCTCATATCTGTATTCCTTCACTGCAGAAATTTTCCATGCATGGTTGCGAATTGCCTGCAAAAGACTTCAGATCTCTTCTCTTCTGCTTGATGCTTGTAATAAATGTACATCATCAAATGAGCCCATCAACTGTTAGTTGTGTCTCAGTTAATCTGTGCAAAGCTGGAAATCCCTATTTGCAGTTGTGTATAACACAGCATACAGAAAATGGAACCTGCGGTCATGACAGGAAATAGTACTTTGCTGTTTAACTTACGCTTTCTGCTGGAAATGGGCCCCAGTAATCCTGAAAGTGGTTCTGTGGGTGACCCTGTGAAACAGAGTTTGGGATTGAGCTTAGTCCCTGTTTCAGTCACGGAGTTCACCTATAGCCTGCTGTGGATAGGGTGACTTTCTGAGACCTCTGCACCCCTCCCTGTAACATGGGGTGAAGGTTTCCTGCTTGGTCTCCTGGACACAGTGCCTGGAGCAGAGTTGCCTGAGCCTCAGTTCAGCAGAGCCCTGAAGAGCACCATCAGTGCCCAGAGCATATCGAAGTGAGAAAACAGGGCTTGGTCTGTAACCGAGCAGAAGGCAGACCTGAGCAGAGTCAACCTCTTTGTTCTTACTGGAAATGATAATGTATTTTTAACTGTAACATCTTTGGTGAAATCTGGTGTAGTTGATGTTACAGCTTTGTTCTATTTTTATGTTTTTTTCTGTTGCAGTGTTTCGGTAGAAGTTAAGTACTTCCCCTACAGGTACTAATAAAATTATTTGCCTTTACAGAGCTACAGGCAACCAGCAGCTTTTATTGTCACACAACATCCTTTACCAAACACTGTGAAAGATTTCTGGAGATTAGTGTATGACTATGGCTGTACTTCTCTTGTGATGTTAAATGAAGTCGACTTAGCACAGGTTAGTTTGGAGCTTGAATTTTCCATGTACCGTTGCGTGCTTTAATCACTCTGCATTCACTACATGATGAAAATGTAGAGGAGTGCAGTGATTTTACAGTTATTCTCTGCTTTACAGAAGCTAATCAACACTAGTTGTTCACTGAAGGTTTACAGTGGAATAAGGCAATGCTCAAGGTGTAACTTACAACATTTAATTATGTCCATTTTGTTCTGGTGCAGGGCTGCCCACAATACTGGCCCGAGGAAGGGATACTGCGGTACGGTCCCATCCAAGTGGAATGCATGTCGTGTTCAATGGACTGCGATGTCATAAACCGAATTTTCAGGATATGCAACCTAACAAGAGTAAGCATTATCATAACAATATGTGACAGAAAAATATGTTATTTTTAATACTCTCTACGCTGTTCTACTTTTTAATTTTGAATAATAGTAGAATACTAATGTTCTTAAGACATGAACCAGAAAAGAGTCAGACAAGCATCACTGTCTAATACTAATTTCTAGTACTTTTCTTTAGCTACGCACTAAACAGAGAGAGATTTAGGGAGAATGAGTGTTTTTCTGTGACATTTTCCCTCATGAGTAGATGTATGAGAAGTATTCTGTAGTCTGCTTGTTTGGTGTACAGTAAAAGAAATATCCCTCTAATGAACATGTAGTGACAAGTATTTAGTCCATAGGTTTGATAAGATGTTTTCCGTGGTAAATCAGGAACAGGAAAGGTGAGGCTGGTTATACAGCCAGGACCTTCTCAGCCTAAGATGTGAGAACCACAACATAAAAGGAAGATTGTGGCACCCTGTAAAGCAGGGCGTGAAAAAAGTCTGAAAGCTCCTCTGCCTCTGAAGGGTTCTTCACCACTGTGCCTCGACCTACATTTATCATCTTTTTCTCAAGCTCAGTAGCAGTGCCAGTCTTGCATTCTTGTCAGCTCTTTCATACCTTGCACCATCTTTTCTTTTTGCTATCCCACAGTGTTTCACACTATTGCAGCATCTTCTCAGACCCTGTTTGCCACACAGCATTTCCTCCTTTGTCTCACCTCTAGGCATCACTTATTTATGTTGCCTGCCATTAAAGAGTTACAGATGTTTATGCCACCATTCTATGTACAATTAACCAGCAATCCCTATTTTACTTACCAAGACTGCTTTGTATTTTTCATCCAATACTGACTTTACCACTGACTGCTACTTGGAGTATATGTTTAACTTTCATTAATGTTGAAGGATAGCTGTGGGGAAAACTGATTACTGTGTATACACAAAGATTTTTCTTTTTATTTGATTTTTATTTTCATTTTTCAGAGAGCAGAGGTCAGTTTTCATGTGGCCAGCGTTTTACTCAAACTTTTATTTTACATATATCCAGAACTATGAAAAGCATTTTCAGCTTTTCATGCCTTGTTTGGAAACTACAGGAGGGTGTGGGTGTGGGCACACTGGCAAATATTACATTATAGCACTTTTTTGTTGTATTTTAAGACTTCCTCTTTTTTTTCTCTTTTTTTTTGTTCATTTCTTATTTTTTTTTTCCATTTCTTCTTTTTTTTATAATGTTTTGATTTTCTACTCCTCTACTCACTCTCTCCTGTGGCTTTTTTGCCTATACGTCTTGTTTTTAAATACCTCTCTGCTCTGTTCTTCCTTTTCTAAAATCCACAGTCCTACTCCTTTTCATCATCTTCAGCTGCAAGAAAGTGAATAGACTATTTATTCTTCCTGTTATTGAGGCCTTTCTTGTGACAGTCTAATTGTATTCAAAGCTCTCCCTCTATCGCATCTAGCATATGGAAAGCTCAGAGACTGGCAGCAAGGCTGTCATGATTATCATCTGGCAAAAAGGGAAGACTTCAAGGACAGTAGTTGTATTTGTGCACCAATATTACTTGTTGTTTATTTGTAATGGAATCAGTTCATGCTTAGGAGTCAGAGATCTGTCTTCGTATCTGCGGGTCTAAGAACTTAACAGTGATTTTTTTATTGATTATTGATGTTAAACCAGCTTGGCACTTAGAATCTAGGGAATTTGTCCATTTAAAAGTCAGAATCACATTAGTGATTGATAAACTGTGATGATGTCTTCAATGCAGTCCTCTTTTTTTTCCCTTTTTTTACATCTTCCTTGAGTTCAAGTGGTACAATTTAATGGAGAGCCTACCATGCAATGTATATACTTGTTGGGATCTGTTCATAATATAAACACTTAGGTTTCATGTTAGTTTTATATTTTTGTTTTCTAAACTAAGATGTAGAGGTGTCGTTTTGACCTAAAGCTCTTTGGTTTTCCCTCAGCCACAGGAGGGCTATCTGATGGTGCAGCAATTCCAGTATTTGGGATGGGCTTCTCACAGAGATGTACCAGCTTCCAAGAGATCCTTCTTGAAGTTAATTCTGCAGGTTGAAAAATGGCAAGAGGAATGTGAAGAAGGGGAGGGTCGGACCATCATTCATTGCCTGTGAGTAACTTGGAGAAAGTCAATTGCTGTTCTTCAAATAAATGGTTATAAATTACTTCTTGTTTTAAATTTAAGCAGTATTCTTATGGATACCTTCTTTTTCACATGCCCTTGCCACTTTTATTAAAAGAAAGTAAGTACCACTACTTTTGGTCAACTTTTGGATTTGTCTGTATCAGGACAAGGTACCATGGGAACATGATACTACTGTGATACTGTGTATTTGCCGCCTTCTGTACATGATAGCATTTTTTTCAGGTACAAAACCTTTACAGATAAACAACTTCTGCCTGGTTTCAGAAGGAAGTCTTTTTTGCTGAGTGCCAAATAGTTATTTTTTGTGCCACTCTTGCATATAGTGTGCTGCATTTTTTCCAGAAGGAATGCCTACAATATTTTGAGGTGTTTAAACTGAAAACTATGGATATATGAAACCAGAGAAAAGTTCTATTACCGTATGTGATCCTACAACTATTGTCAGTAAATGACTGCTGGCTGCTTATCTGGACCTGATGCTTAAATGGGAGCTGGTTTGAGAGTTTTGAAAAGATGGCATCTTTTTCTCCCTAAGCAGAGAATAATTGATCTCTTTCCTACCTTATTTAAATACAAAGTTTTAAATATAGAAATTGAATTACGCATTTTTACTTAAAAGGCTTCTGTTTAAATGTTCAGAATGAACTAGTGACCCCTTTCTGCCTATCCCACCTCAAACTTCATAAGAGGAAATACCTACCCTAATTTCTTTGAAAATAATATTAAAATAGTTCAGAAGTGTGCCTAAAGGTCAACAAGAATTGAATTGCTTATTCTATCTGGCTAGATAATCCTCATATCACAGGATAATTTAAGTGAGTGTCTTTCCAAAACTAAGTGGAAAAATTATTTGCCATTGAACTTGGGGGTTTTTTTTATTTCTAATGCTCTACTTGCCATGGAACTTGTGTTTTGGGGTTTTTTTCTAATGCATATGTAATTTAGACTTATAGTATAGCTGGGCAGCACGGTTGACTGTAAGGACAGAATTCAAAAGTGGTAATTGAGAGAAAGGTCAGAAAACCCAAATTTCTTAGACCAAACTCACTGGTGCTGCAATGAGATTGCTAAATTCTAATCTCCCTCTGGGACTCATGAATCACTCATGCTTACAGCATGAAAGAAGAGAAATGCATTTTGGGTGTTCTTTTAGGTCGTAGTGATATGTAACCATCTGTTTTCCTTGTGTACAGAAATGGCGGTGGCCGGAGCGGGATGTTCTGTGCCATTGGCATTGTGGTTGAGATGGTAAAAAGGCAGAATGTGGTGGACGTTTTCCATGCTGTGAAGACTTTGCGGAACAGCAAGCCCAACATGGTAGAAACTCCGGTAAGTACCAGCCCATCAGGGTTACTGCAAACAGCAAGGGAACCAGAGGCTCTCTTGTTGTGTGAGCTGCTCTCTCAGTCCTGTGCCCACAAAACAGTGCAAACCTATGATGGGCTACAAGAAGAAAGGGACAGATACTGAGTGTACACACAAGTCAGCATCACAAGAGGAGTGACTAAGCATTTTACAGTACTTTTCTTGTACTGGTAGCATGATTTTCACAGAAAATATTCTGAGTTAACAGAATGCACTTTAATCTCCCAAAATAACCCTGTCTGTTTGAAAGGAAGTTGCAGCAGGCTGTGCTCAAACAAGCCATCTTGAAATTTTACAGAATAAGACATTTCTCCTTGGTAGGAATAGGCTGTAAAGTATAGATTTGTAGCTGGATATGTGAATATTTTTCTCCTTAGTAACAACTGCTGCTTTGAAAGTTTTATTGAATAACAATAATCTTTTTTACTCAGATTTGTAGTAGTCAAAATGATACCTCAGAACTTTAAAATCAAAGCCTTGGATCTAGTATGTTGCAAATGAATATATAGAATCTAGAATCATTTAAATTGGAAAAGACCCTTAAGATCATTGAGACCAACAGTTAAATAATAAACAATATAAACAGTAAACTAATTGTCACATGAAAAGTGGCAGAAAAGAAGAATTTTCTGTCCAACCTGTGTTAATTTATTTTTTGTCCATCAGTGTCCCCCCCAGGAGATCAAAGCCTTTTAATGTCCAAAAGAGTCTGTTAGCGTCTCACCTAATGAGACCCTTCACTTAACAGATTTGTTCAGATGGATAGGACATTCGATAGCTTTTTATATCAGGACTACCCTTAATAGCAGTAGGAAAACCCCTCAGCAGGTTTCTGCTGTGAGTTATTTCACCATCGACAAAACTGTCAGCATGTAAAAATAGACTCGTTCTAACAGTTCATGAAATACCACATTTATTAATACAAATTTGTGACAATTTATGGGGTTCATTTTGTCTGGAATAGGGTCTAACTGCAAAAACACACATAAATTATGTAATAGTAATAATAAAGCCAAGCATAGGCACACACGCTAAAGCAAAAGCAACTTACAAAGATGTAAAACAACCTACAAAGAATAAGTAAAGCAAAAACTTAAGCACATGCCCTAAAGCAAAAGTTTGTTACACTTACAAATAAGTGAGACAACAAAGAATAAGTATAGCAAAAAACTTAAATACACACTATAAAGCAAAAGCAACTTACAATGAAGTAATACCTAAAAATTTTAAATTACTATGAAGCAAAAGTGAAATTAGTATATATTAATAAAGCGATCGCTCAGCCCAAGGTGTCCCGAGAAGGTGGAGGTAGAAAAGGTAACCCGTCAGTTACCCCCGCAGAGTTGATGGAACTTCTCCCCGATTTTTGCTTATGTCAAATCTCTTTTTATGCCTTTTTTCTTTAGGCAGATTGAGTGGATATAGTCAATGAACTAATTTTGGGGTGATAGACAGATGAAATAGGCCCAAGGGTCCACTTCCTCAGTTCCTGGCAGCCAGGATGTTCGAGAAAAAAGGCCATGTTATCTCCATATCACTCCTTTCTTCATTTTAATCCTTTTATTAGTTTCTGGGAATGTCTCCCTAGGTGCTAGGGTTTTCTAGGAAACCATCAGGAGGTTTTATCTCCTTTTGTGTAGCCTTTCTATCACCTTGCACTAATATAAACAATATGAGTCTGAATTAGCGAAACTGCAAGACTAAATATCTGTATGTACATTGCCAGAACTCAAAATAATCTTCGCTCTTCTGGATAATCTTTATGCATACAGTATGAGTGCATATGCATAGGAATTTTTGCTTCAGTCAGAAAAGCTGAGCAGTCCTTAAAAAAATTCTCCCACATGGACATTTTTCCTTTTTGTAGGTGAATGTGAAAGCAGGTTGAAACATAGTGTTTGGGAATTCCTACCATTTGACTCTCGCACTGCCAGCAGCCAGTGTCTTCAGCCAGATGGCTGCCTACAGCATAAAAATCAGGGATGCCAATTGAAATTTAAAACATTTTGCAGTTTATGCATACTGGAAATTGCTTCTGACCTTGTGAACTTGCATATTGAGCAAAATTTTTATAGCTGCCTCTCCCCATATTACCCTTTTTTGCAAGTGTCAGTGCTCACTTAGTATCAAGTAGCTTTTGTGGCATGATTTTCTTAATTATTGTGCATCAGTTCCATCCCTTGCCATCACATAAATTAAGAAGATAGTTAACGTGGTAACAAACAGAACATCCTGTAACAGCAGTGACACTGGGCTAGGTATTCCTTGTTTTGCCACAAATACTTTGCATTCTCCTGCACCACAGACATCTGAGACACAACATATTAAATTGCTGCCTGGATTTTAGTTGACTGCTGTGAAGAAAACAGGTCAGATCACATGGAAAATTATTTGTGTCACAGTAAAGGGAGGCCAAGGTAGATTGTGTGTGTTTCTGATAAACGCTCTGCAAAATAATATTTCATTTCAAAATAGACCTGAATTCCTCTGTAGCTTTAAACTGAAGTTACAAAATTTTTGTAGTTATGTATTTCTGTTGTGTGGGGTTTTATTCAGAACTGAACAGCAGCAGATGTTGAGTCGTTAGTTAGAAAACAAACCAGGAAAACCAATATATAACACTGTCATGTGCCCTACATTCAGCAACATGATCAGATAACAACAATGAGCAGCACAACAAAGCCTTTAAGATATCCCCACAACTTCCTGCTAATGGATCACGCTGTCTTCCTTTGCAAACAAAAATAAATCACGAAAGCAGATTTATTTTGTTAAGTCACAAGGGCAATAGAGATCACATTAATTTTCCTGTTTTTTTCTTCTTCACCTCTCCTCTCCCCTTCCTCCTCCCTTTCTCCCAGTATCAGCTCTCAACAGCAGCCTTGTTGAGGGAAAATACTAACCACAATGAAGTTTTAGCTTTGCCTTCTCTTTTAAATGTGCATCTGATCTCTTGGATGTTACATCAACACGACTGTACAAAGGGGCTGTGGACCCTGAGCAGCCTTGTATCATGGCTCAGTATTCCCCATCCATTCACTGGCTGCCCAAGCAGCAGGCATTAGTTACTGCTCAGTATCAGCTAACTCAGGTATAAGTGATCAAGTGTAAGAGTTGAGGTGCTTTCACTGCAAGAATGCTCTGACTGAGAGGAGAGCTTTTCATGTTTGATAAACCAGTTTAGAAGCTGAAAAAATCAGAGAAGCACATAATTGCATTCCATGGTCAGGGATTTTTTCCACTTCATTGATTAGGGTGAGTTTTTAAATCAGAGCTGGTAACATACTTTACTTGTGTAATAGGGGAAAAAATAGAAAATCCAAGCATGTCTGGCTTACTAGTTAGCAAACAGTGTTCCTGGTTGTAGATGTTGCTGCTAAGATTTTAGAATCTTTATTTAACTTCAGTTTTTGTTTCTGTTTCCCTTTAAAGGAGCAATATCGCTTCTGCTACGATGTGGCGCTGGAGTACCTGGAATCCTCTTAGTTGGAAGGGATATGGCAAAGTTCACCAAATACATGAATCTCAATAAGCTGTTTTGACAACAGTTCTTGATCCTGTGAAGAAAGATTTTTGGGAAAGAGGGGGGTGGGAGGGATTTTAAATTTTAAATGCAAAGTATTTTTCTTATGAAGTTGTGTATCTTAATAAAAGAACTCAATCTGTTTCTATGCTTGTATACAGTATCAACATTTAGTGCCACATAAATACTATTTAATGAAAACCAGAGTCAGAAGAGATTTGCGCAAATTAGGACTTTTTAGTGTGTGTATATGCAGCCGTCTCTCAAAACAGTTAGAGCGACCATCTGTTGCATGTATCAATATTTCCTATATGGTATTTTTTTTCCTTTTGATACATTGTTAAAGTACAATAACAGTGCAAATTGATAGTAAGGTTCATTCTTTATACGTTTCAAGTGTTGCATATATATATTATATATAGTAAAAAAAAACTGGCTTATTTTGTTTTAATGTGCAATGATGGCTGGATCACATAAAGATCTTTATAAAGAAACTTAAACATAAGCCAAAGACTCAAGTGTAAATATGTCTATATGGAGAAAGCACATGTATTTATTGTTTACTTGCATTCCTTTTATGATGGCTGAAAAAAAGAAGAATCATTTTTCTCGAAGAAAGCTTTTTTTGCTGAAATCAAGTGTAAACAATTTTTGTAGTTTATTTTTTGTATGTTTTAGTGTAAGTAGAAAACATAATTTTTATGCATAGACCAAGAAACATAGGTATAGTGGTTTTGTTGTGTACATGCTTGTGATTCAAATTCATGTAAACAACTTGATTATAGAAGGTCTTTAAGTACAGGACCAATATCTAAACATTTTCCTGAAAATGTATAGTTTTTCACAGTCGCATTAGTTAAGTACTGATCAAAAAACTATGTAAGGAAGTACACACTTCAAAATGGCCTTGCCTATGACTTGCACAGTATTGGAAGAAATTTTTAAGCTTCATTAAAATTGTACAGGAACCAATTGTTTCAAAAAAATATTGAAGCACAGGTCAGCAGGAGAACTGTGAGACAAATAGATGGGTCTGCATATGCCCTTAAGGGTAAAAAAGTATTTGTTTAGCAAATTGTAAAATTAAGCAATGTTTAATTTGATGTTTACAAACATGTAAGCTTTGCTTCCAAGAAAGCAAAATTTGAATAAACCAATGCGAGATTCTGATTATAGTTGTGGTGTACAAAATATTACTTTGCTTTCACTTGGCTTACATCCATTTCTTCACGAAGTTTCTTACATATTACTGGCTAAAATCATTCCAGTCTCTTGTTGATCATTTTTAGACCTGACAGTAAAATTCTATGGTGCTTTTAAATATTCTGTAAAGTAAGAGTGAATTAAATTTTTATTTAAAGATTATTTTATATTTTTTTCCTACTTTAATACCCTCTGAATTACTGTTCTTGTTAAGGAGTCATTCTTGTCTGGAAGATCAATATATTTGGATAAGGAAAATCTCAAAAGGAAATTGTATTATTTTTCACCCCATTGCTTCAGGGAGTATTTGAAAAGATGCCATGTCATCTGTATGTCCTAAGTTTCTTCTTTTACTTGAGATACATGGTATTACCCATCCAACACTATAAATGGCCGAGAAATGTTTAGAGAAATACTAGTTCTCAGATTTTTTCAGTGCCTCCATCTGTATTGCATAGCTCCACCTCTTCCAGATCTAAAAAATTCCTTTTTTGTGGCATCCACTGTTAATTCCTACCTGTGAACAGCAAGGTAAGTAAATGAGGTTTGAAAACATTCACTGGATTTGGCTTCTTAATACTCAAATTGCCCTATTTTTTCTTCTGCCACACTGGAAAGTGGATTATAAGCTGCATGCAACAGAATTGCAACATTTCCAGCTTTCCCTGTGAGGTAACAGCATTCGACTAACTCTAACAGTCAAAGTTCTGGGTCTATCACTCAAAGCTAGCTGTCTGGTCACCACATTTTGTGGAAATAACATGCCATCTTCACAGACTGATGCATCCTGCCTGTTTAGTGTCTGTCTGGCACTAAATGGTTTGGACTCTGGAAGAGTCTTCCTCTGTTGTCTGTAGAGGATGTTGAGAAGATTAGTCTAGAAGTCTAGATTAATTTTTTGACAGATGAGATGTGTAGCTTTTAGGGTAGTGGAAAGCAAAAGCCACATTCTGTACTGCCCAGAATGATATTTATGTTTTGCTTTTTTGGTTCCTGACCAAAAATGTAGATTACCATTAGGCTGACTGAATACTTATTTTCGTGGAGAGCTGCTGTGTATGGGACAGTGGGGTCCATTCACATCAGAATTTCATAATCCTTGTTAAGATTTTTGTGTCCAGCTTCCCCTGTACATTAATCATGACTGGTGCAAATGCCAAAATGAATTCTGGCATTGCAGCAAAGGTGTCTTCCTTAGGAGAATCCCCCTTAACTGGAAGGTATTATAGTTGCTAGTGGTTATTCTGCAAAGGGGAACTCTGCCTATGTTGTTTGAGTACTCTGAGAGTCACATAATTTCTGTAACTGTAGCTGACTGGGGTGACCTAAAGAGCTTTTTCAATAGCTCATGATTGAAAAATCTGTGGGAAGTTCTTCCTAGCAAGATCAGGGGAAAGTATGTAGAGGGAATATTATGTGTAAGAAGCAGATCAGAAATATCATTCTCCAATAATAGTACCTTTTGAGGGTCTCTTAGGCAAAAGACAATGTTAGAATCTGCTTTTAAGTGTAAAATCAGAAGAGACAGATTGTTTCATTGTGCAGCTCTTTCTTCTCTCTTATCTCATCCAGTGGCAGCAAATGCCATCTTTGTTTTCTGAGAACACTGGCTCTGTTCCCCCAGATAGATGCTGTGCCAGTGTCCTTTTCTTACACCTGTGCAAGACAGAAAAAAGGGAAGTGAGGGGACTATGGAAACCTGACCCAGAGGGAAAACAAGTATTTCTCATAAAAAGAGTGTGCAGTGGAAGAAGAGAAGTCTTCCTGACCTTGGGCACTTGAAGAGGGAAATATTTCACTCCCTGAGGCAGTGAGACACCACCAGCACCAATATCACAAGGTACCAGCAACTCCAGCCCTGGAGCAGTCCATAGGTTTCAAGACTCCTTAAAATCTTTCTGCTTGCTATTACCCTTGAAGTATTAGCACAGACTCAATCAAGTGGCTAAAGCCTGCATGGTACATTGTCTCTGCTTTCTTCAGCAGCATGAAATGAAAACTGGACTCACACATGCAGTAAATACACAGAGAGCAAATGGGCATCAAGTCAGAAAACAGAGAAGCACAAAAAGCTTCATCCATAGAGGTGTGTGAGATGATTCAAATTTAAAAGGAATGAAGCTGAAACTGGTTTAATATCACGTGATGAAAGGAACCAAAGGAATGTATAAGTTCCAAAAAACATGATCGCTGTGTACAAGAAGGTATTCTTTGCTCTAAAACTGGGAAGTGATGACTCCAGTGTCCTAGTCTGTGTAGTTGCCAGTGGAAGGAGTTCTGTGAGTTGCTTTGATGGCTTTGGTTCATTTTCTGTAGAACGGTAATCAAAGAGGTAACTTAGGGATGTGTTCAAACTATCTGAATTTTCCCAGAATAACCAGATCTTAGGATCCAGCACTGAAGAACCATAAATCCTTGGACATATTTAAAGCAGTTTCATGGAGACTGAAGAGTCTGCAAACCTCAGCATCCTGTATAGAGAGAGGCTTTGCTCTTTTTTTTTCCTCTTTCTTTTGGCCCTTTGAATTTGCCTTCCCTGATCATAGTGACCCAACTCCAGCAGAAGGAGGTGTGAAGAGACTCAGGTTTTGACCTTTTGTCTGGGTCCAGAGAGATCAGACCCCAGCTGGTAAATGAGATCCTAGTATTTACATTTCATGCTTCCTGGGTAAATGCTGCCACCGGGAAAAAAACAGCTTTGGAAAAGACTTTGCCTCCTGGAAAACAGTCACAGGCATATGAGTTAGAAGCTTGTAGCTTAGTATTCTCACTATATACAAGCAGTTACTGGGATTTATTTCATTTGGGAATTAACATAAACTAAGAAAATATATTATCTGAGCAATGTCCTACATACTACATTAAGAAACACAATATTCCTTCAAGAAACATGAAAACCAAAGCTACTGAAGGAGCATACTCTTTTAAATGGGTTAACAATTTCAAAATCAAAGTCTCAGAAAAGCAGACTAGGGGAGCAATGGTAGGCAAGTGCTCTGTCATCGAACCTCAAGCTTGAATTGAAATGTTAAAGTACAAGGAAGGGGCAGCCTGAGAAAAAATGTTGCAGGATCACTGCATGGCCGGGCCACCTGGGCTGGCAAATGACTGTATAAAGGGCCTCTTTTAAACTTCACTCTGTTGCTGTGTCAGAAGAAACCCTGAGATCTTGAAATAATTGTAAAAGCTGCTTTTATAGTGCTCTGCTCTCTACTGAAAAGTAAGTCATTTTCGGCTGTACTTTCCTGTGTCATGTAGAGGTCTGAATTAAGTGATCATAATCTCACAAAAGAACCTTTGTGGTGGTTTATTGCTTGTACTCTGCTTTTGTTAAATAGTCAAAGATCTTGTAACCTCTGCAAATCCAGGATAGTCAAGGGTATCTGTGAATATTCCTTTATGGCTTTAGTTTCTGGGGTTGAGTAATCTGCTAGGATTAGATTATGTATACTGAGGATAAAACTTTCACAATATGCAGAAGTTTAGTCCCATAAATTTTCCTTCAACTTTATTCAGAAAAACTTTTGTTAATTTTTTAATTAGAGGCTCTGTTTGAGCAAAATTTTGAGATACAGATAATATAGAAGTGTTGTTAAATTATTTTGGGCTTACTAGATGTTTTTTCTTTAAGCCTGAGTAAAAGGATGTTGTTGATTGTGGTGGTGGTTGACAAGCATGAATGTTATTTTGGCCCACGCTTCTTAGAAATTAATTCTTTCCCTGCTGTTGGGTTTAGAGTCCTAATTTATGCAGAAATTGACATATATGATGACAGGCACAATAGGATGCTTACCTAATAATAGTGTTTGTTAACTGTGTCTTGGCCAACAAAGAACAGATGTTTTTGTGCCCTGTTGAGATACGACAGCTTGATTTCAATAGTCTCTTGTAAAGCCTTCTAGCTTCCATCTGGATTAGAAAATAGTCCCAACTTCACAAATTACATCAAGATAAGTTTGAAATCCCCATATGCTCAGAAATTTTTTCAAATCTCCACT